ATGTACATCACATTTTATAAAAATAAACTACCTGATTTTTATTTCATAAAGATGTATCTAAGACATCAAAAGATCATCAGATTCTCGACATTGCGTGCGTCAGTTTGAAACCGGCGTCTAATACATTTTGTTTTGTTTTTCTTTTTTCTTTATTACATTTTTTCGTACCGATGAAATGCGCTACGTACGGTTACAAATGGGAAATGTGAAAGTGTGTTTAGAGACCAGAAGCAACATCTTTTAGGGGGTTACAACATTAACTGTAAAACTGTCATTATAACTTGAATAACAATAAATATTTGAGAAACTGTAAATTTGATGTGGAACGCAAATAAACCGTGACGTGGCTCATATCAATAGTACGTAACAATAAAGCGTCCATAATTTGTGCTACTTTTGAGCCTAAGAATTGTCGCGAGTTACCAATCTGTTATACTCCTAATACAAACACCCACCATGCTTGGTGTTGTATGGTTCCACAAACGTGTCTGATTTATAATCCGTCAAGTTGTCAAAGCTTTCCTTCACATAGGCGTAATAATTCTCATGACAAACGATTCAACACAAAACCAAACATATCTTGTCAAATAGTAAGCGTTGGTATTGTACAATTACTATTTATGTATTGTACAATGGTAGATATTTCACATTAGCACCTGCCATTGATGAACCATGGTACAACCATGTATTTATTGATTACAAAGCCGAAGCCTATACAGGTATTTCAAAATATTGTTCAATCAGGTCACGTGATTCAGCTTATAGAGAGTTAGTTGTCTGACAGCAGATAAGACTTGACTAAGACACTGATAGTCTAGACACCGGTTACTGTACGTTTGGGTTTGGCCATTTAGCTAATGCCTGATTACAAACATTGTTAGTTCGTTTTACGAGTAATCGACTCCTGTATAAATATCTACAGTTACAAAAAACATAGTTCTGTCAGTACTGTGTTGAAGAGTCGACACTCTGATAAAATGTCCAATTTGTTACACATTTAGATCGAGTGTCGCTAAGTCTAATATCATGCCAAAACTAGGTACAATTCTCATTGGCCAATTCAAAACAGCCGTCCAAGCCCATTCTGCCATGACCGTTCAGCGCCATCACAGGCGAAACACTGCAAATTATTCAACAGCAACAAAGTGAGTTCGGCAACTCTGTGTTTGATAACCCTCAGCTATTAATAATTGTCAAATTTCTCACGTATTCACTCATTTGAACGATATTTTTGTTTTTATACGATATTGTGTGTGCAAGAATTGACTGACAAGAGATTTTGTCCGCACAGTGATGCCAACCGTGTAATTGGTTAAATCTCCAAACGATTTATAAAAAACATGTCCATTTATTACATTATCTACACATTTATAAAAATCTTATATACATGTAACATTCAAATATTTGATCATATTAATAAATAGTGAATAACATATGTATGTGTGCATATTGTAGAATCGTTAGCAGGCCATGTGCTATTTTGTATTGAGCTCCGTTGCGTGACTCAACAACATGACGAAATCCGTCTTGATGTAGCGTTTGTATAGAAAGAAGGCGTCCCCATTGAAGCGCAATCATTATGAACGAGAAAGGACTGTCGATACGGCTCGTATATGTGTTACATCATTTGGAATACGAGCGTTACTGTGCAAATGTGAGAATCTATTTTTATTGACGTGTCCTTCACAGTGTGGACTGAGTGTACTGTACTGTCTGAGTGCATACTTTGAGGTATTCTCGTAATAACCTCATATTTTAATAATTTTAAATACTTTCCCATCAATGTTGTTTTTTAATAACTTATAATATAGGCCTTCCCTCCATACCCTGTCAAAAGCCGTGGCAAACGCTACGAAACATACATATCATTTTTGTTTGTTCTTGTTATATTTTTTAATCAAAGTATTCATATTGAATTTATCTGAATTCACTTGTATGGGTAGAAAGCTATAGGTGTCCTCGAGAAGGGGCATATACAGTAAATGCGAGGCAGCTAAGGAAGGTAGGGTTAAAGTTAGGATTAGAGGATACATTAGAATGTGTTCCATGTAGAAATGATCAGAGTTGTTGAACAGGCGATCACTACGACAGAGGCGGTGGCACAAAATGTTGCATGGATGGGCGAGGCGCGAGCTTACTAGGGGGAACCATTTTCCCCCTTAACATTGTGAACTCTAGACGCTAGTAATTGACATTTACTGCATTTTTAGCGGGCTATTTTGCTGACTCAAGGGGTTTCAGATTGACTTTCCAGAGTGCGACCATCCTCCCTGTGTCGCCGCAAATGTACGGTATGCATAAATTTATATATGCATAAATGGCGACTAGATCTGTTGTTTTCTTGACAGCTTCAAATTGTTTTTTCAAGAAACACGTATGTCATATTTGATTAATAAATAATGTGTCGTCGTCGTTGGGGGCAATACGTGGTTTCAATAATTAGAATACTAGACTTATGATCGGTTATTTCAGTCCGACACCTGCCACCACACTATTTACTGAACAAAAACAACTGAACCCCAAAACTTTGATCTAGTTAATAAAAATAACCTAAAAACAAGTCGATTTAAGGAAACTAAATTGAATTAACATTAAATTATTAACACTATTGTATTATATATGTGTACCAGCACCGGTGACTGCTTCAAAACTTAAAGTCAAATCACTCAAAATTACCCAGTTTGTTCATATCTTGCCCATGCGTGGCGCAGCGACCAACGCCCTTTAAGTACAAATGTATGAATGTGTCCATATAATAACGTAGAAACTTGATGTGATGTCACTCCAGCTACAACATTCACCACCTCAACCCACCGTCCCTGGCGGTCAGCACCATATTTCCATGTCGTGATACCAATCTTAGTAAGTGAAAGGCCATGTATTGCCTAATGAAAATATCGCTGTAATTATATTTCTCATTTCTCTTTCATTGTCTTTTGGTACAACTGTGTCTGTGGCGCCATAATGATTCACGCACATTGCGTTGTCGTTAGTGTGTGAGTCGAAATACGAAGACCGAATTAATAACACCTACACAACGTCCATTCAAGCAGTGAATGCTTACCACCTATGTGGGCCACGCTCGTATATATACGTGCAAATACGACGATTATTGATTACAGTCACCCGGACAATGGTGAGATGTCGTGAACACGTTATCGTGTACTACGTGCTAATTATTTCACCGTAAGACAATAAAGTCACGTTGGAAGGTGTTTATCGACGTCATCTTCCAAATAAAGTCACGGTAAATAGATCATAATCGACCGTTATTCATGGGTCATAGTTTCGAAGTTATGCCTTATGAATATGATTACCAAACCTGTGCAATGGAGTGGTGCGTAGGGTGCGGTATTTTTTTTCGAGATAGGTTTATTATAATGTTGCCAAACCTATCAAATTCTCCGCAAAGAAATACAATGTACAGTACAAAATATGCTAGTTTCTGGGCATGTTAGACTTTACCCCAGACGCACCCAGAACGCGCCGTTGCAGTTTGGTTTGGTTTTCTCAATTTTAATCGTTTTATTCTTGCTTCAATTGCTACAAACTACGGGGAAATAATGATGATATAGATTAATAGCCATGACCACGTTTAAGTAATGTATATCACTCGGCATTGCACAATTCTCTGCGTGTAAATCGCAAATTGTGCAATATGACGCCGTCATGTACGCAACTTTGAAGAGGGTTATTGCTTACATATATCACAATGTTATTATCGTGTTCCAGATTCCTCATTATGCCTCAAAATCATGCCATATTTTTTTTCTAAATTTATTTAAATGACCCACGATAGCTATACTGATGTGTTGTGGGAATACGTTTAGTATTGGGGAAGTGTTACGGTAGTTCCCTTTTTGGAGGGTGTGGTGGCTCTGAAAAGAGCCGTTTTGTTCGATTGGTTGATAGGACTGACATGGTATTGCCAGGTCTGTCGTTAGTTAAGCCCGTTCGCCTCTGATACGACGAGCTAGCTGCATGTCCTTTGGCATGATGGTGACACGTTTTGCGTGGATAGCGCAAAGGTTACAATCTTCAAACAGGCCAACCAAGTAAGCTTCGCTGGCTTCCTGTAAAGCGCCGATCGCTGCTGACTGAAATCGAAGATCAGTTTTAAAATCCTGAGCAATTTCTCGAACTAGGCGTTGGAATGGTAGCTTACGGATCAGCAATTCTGTGTTCTTCTGATAACGACGGATTTCACGAAGAGCGACGGTACCCGGTCTGTAACGATGGGGTTTCTTGACTCCACCCGTCGAAGCAGGTGCACTCTTACGAGCGGCCTTGGTTGCCAACTGCTTGCGTGGAGCCTTTCCACTGGTAGATTTACGTGCGGTTTGCTTGGTACGAGCCATTTTACTCAGTTTGCTCTCGGCTGAGTTCAGAATGTGAATTGCAGTTTTAAGCCAATATTTATACGGCAAAGATGAATACAATAGCTGTCACGTGATCATATTGGGGATTACATTGGCCAACCAGCGGGCTTCAAGAAAAACACATTCTATGTCAATGGTACCATTTTACACATTTACGGTGAAGACGAACCCCCAACCAGGAAGGGCATTATCAACCACCATTTTATTATGACGTCACAGTCAATGGGATGTCATCAAAGACCATCCACAGTATGAACATATTTTTTTTTCTTTCAATTTTTCACTCAGTAAAAATTACAATTATATATTTTCATCTCTGGTACTGAGAACCCAACGATTGACAGATCTATGCGTCACATAGTCAACACTGTAACTAACTAAATGTTGTAAATGGGAATGGTC